ACACACACACACACACACACACACAGCAGCAACACGCAGGACTACGCACAAGTACACACAAATGCAGTACCAGTGTGTGTGTGTGTGTGTGTGTGTGTGTGTGTGTGTGTGTGTGTGTGTGTAGAACAATGGCTGCTGTCTCTGGACTCCATTAATTCCTCAACAGCCTGCAGATCAGATTTAAGGTGGACTGAGGAGATCGGCCCGCTCTGGGTTCCATGTGGTGGTGCGACTCGGACTCGGACTCGGACGAACCGGTTCAGTCGAGTCGCTGCTGCTCAGACGGACTTCGGTGACTTAAAGTGAGACTGAGACCAACGGAGCAGCTTTGAACCCGTTACTGGTTCAGAGTGGCGTCGCCTCCATCAGCAGTCAGCCAGACCAGTGGGGCTCAAACTGGGGGTCGCCACCCCCACGGGGGACCCAAGATGATTCCAGAGGGGTCACCAGGTCATTTAGAAAAATAAATGTAAAGCCTCCATTGGTCAGATAGACGTGTTTTAAGACTTTCAGAATAAGAGTTCATACTTCCTCCCACTGCTTTTATCAAACTTGTTAATATCATGATGTGATGTTGTTATTATTATTATTATTATTATTATTATTCTATTTTGCTCTTTCGTAAATTATTTTCTTTTGTTTTTATATTTTTTTCCTTAAATTCATTCATTCAGATGAAACTGTGAAGACATGAATCTGCTGACTTCACACATTAATGCACAAACAGCAAAGTTATCACTGACCAGATATTAAATATTCAAGCTGTGGCGCCGCTCTGCACCATAAAGTCGTCTTTTACTAAATAAACCCAGAAATCACAGATTGGACGTCCAGTGTTTCAGATTATGGTCAGAAAAAAGTAGAAATTATGAGGATAAAGCCTCAAAAAATCTTTTTTGTCAATAAATTGAGAAAAAAAACTATTTTTTTTTTTTTTACAATAATGTCAAAAATCAGAGATTAAAATTCAAAGTTTTTCAGTTTCAGTCAGAAAAAAAGAAATTTAAATAATAAATCTGGAAGTTTTAAAGAATAAAGAGATTTAAAATTAAAAGTATTTGAGAACAACATCAGAACAAATGATTTCAACAAAGTTTTTAGTTTTTAGAGATTTTAAAAAAAATCAACACTTTAGTCGTTAAAATCACAAAAATAAGTCGAAGAAACTTTTCAGAATAAAATCAGAAACAGGACAAAAATAAAAGTCTAAACGTTGAGAATTAAAATAAATAAAGTCATAAATAAATCATTTATGTTATTAATGTTTAAGAAGGAAGTCCAAAAGCAGTCCAGTGTTTCACAATAAAAGTCTGACTACAAACAAACCGGCTCCATCAGATGAACGTTGTTTTAACGTTCTCTTCTCAACGTGCTGCAGTGATTTCAGACTTTAACGGATTTAAACGTTTCTGCTGCTTTAAAACGTTCGTTAAACTCGTTTATTGTCTTTGTGAACCGGAGCTCAGAAGCTACAGGAGCCATCAAAGGGTTAAAACTCAGAGTCCTGAAGCTCAGAAGGTTCCTGTTTAATCTGAGTTCACGTTCAGCCGCCAGCAGCAGGACTCAGGCGTCATGTCGCCGCTTCGCCAGCAGGTGGCAGCAAAACCTGGTCCATGAGAAGGAAGCAAACGTTAAAGATGAGAAGCTGCTGAAGGACCAGAGATCTTCACCTGGACTCAGGAGCAACGGTTTCTTCTCATTCATCCTCGTTTAATGCTCAACATGAGAAAGAATACGTTTAAATAAAAGGCAAGTAAATGATTTTATAACTAAAACCCTGAAACCAGACGTTTCCTGTTTCAGCTCAGGGTCACCAGCATGACTTCTGTCTCCATCCATCTCCTCAGTATCTGCTAGCGTTGCCTTTAAACTCTATGACTTNCGTTCTAATTCCAGATTAACGTTAGAATTCCAGATTATCGTTATAATTAAAGATTAGCGTGATAATTCCAGATTAACGTTCTAATTCCAGATTAACGTTAGAATTCCAGATTATCGTTATAATTAAAGATTAGCGTGATAATTCCAGATTAACGTGATAATTCCAGATTAACGTGATAATTCCAGATTAGCGTTAGAATTCCAGATTAGCGTTATAATTTAAGATTAGCGTTATAATTCCAGATTAGCGTTCTAATTCCATATTAGCGTTATAATTCCAGATTAGAGTTACAATTCCAGATTAATGTTATAATTCCAGATTATCGTTATAATTCCAGTTTAACGTGATAATTCCAGATTAACGTTATAATTTCAGTTTCCTTGTCAACCTCCATAATCTCAGTCACTGCTCACCATTTCCTTGCAGACGTCTGTCAGCTGCCGGACTCGGTTCTGCAGAAGGTCCCGTCGGATCGGGACCTGTCCCGGTTGGCATCGCGGCTCGGCCCGGAGTGGGAGTCGGTCCTGGTGGACCTGGGTCTGTCGGCCGAGGCGGTGTTCCGCTGCCGGTCCGACCACAGCCTCAGCGTCCAGGCGGCGGCGCTGGCCGGCCTGGTTCTGTGGCGACGGTCCGAAGGGAAGAAGGCGACGGTGGCGGCACTGCTGCAGAGTCTGACGGCCGCCGGCGTCCATCCGTCGGTTCTGGAGGACGCCATGAAATAAACTTTATTTATCGTTGCACCGACTCATCGGACAGAAGGTCAGGGAAAGACAGGAAGTTAAAATATCTGGGATTTAAAGTCCGGATTATCAGAATAAAGTCTGAATTTTAACTTTAAAGTCAGGATATCTGAGGCTTCAGTCAGGATTAAACTTAAGTTCAGACAGAAGCCTGAAAGAAAAAAGACAAACTAAGTCTGAGTATTTATATTAAAGTTATCTGAAGTTTGAGTCAGAATTATGAGAAGGAAGTCAGGATTTTAGCATTAAGCTGAGCTCTAAGTCAGAATTATGTGAATAAAGTCTGACTTTAGGTTAAAATGTTGAGAGAACTGCGATTAAAGTCAGGATTTGTACTTTACAGCCAGGATATGAGGCCAAACCGGACACGCTCAGAACTTTAATAAAGTTTCACGTTTTTATACGAAGTGCTGCTGATCCAGAATTTATTAAACCCGGTTCTGATGAGTCCAGCTGTAGCCTAACCTCCTAAGCCCGGTTCTGATGAGTCCAGCTGTAGCCTAACCTCCTAAGCCTGGTTCTGATGAGTCCAGCTGTAGCCTAACCTCCTAAGCCCGGTTCTGATGAGTCCAGCTGTAGCCTAACCTCCTAAGCCCGGTTCTGATGAGCCCAGCTTTAACCTAACCCTCTAAACCCGGTACTTGGTTCCGTCTGAACCTGCTCACCTCCTGTTTGTTCTGACTTCAGCTTTCTGAACATTTTCACACGTTTTCCTGGAAGTCGGCTCAGAAAAGCCTCCAGAGCCTGGAAACACACACACACTGCTACACACACACACACACACACTGGTATACACACACACACACACACACACACTGGTATACACACACACACACACACTGGTATACACACACACACACACTGGTACACACACACACACACACACACACA